CAAAAGCTGTGGTCGAGTCGTCTATGAGATAGACCTTTAATTTCCAGTCCCTTCCTTGGGTTGGCTTTTTCCCAAAGATTGCCATTTTCATTCGTTTCTGGTCTACTGTTCCTGGAATTCCAAAAGCTGAAATTTCAATGTCCTCGTTTAGTTGGGGAAGAGTCACAACAACGTCGTTATGCTTCTGTTCTACTTTGGCATCTGGAATAACATCGGTGACTTCTCTCCAATCGCTCGTGTTTGTTGTCTTTCTTTCTTGGTGACTTGGTGTGGTTCGACATTGGACAAAAATTTTCCATTCGTGTCCAAGTGCTACTAGACAACTGTGCTGGATCACAACGACGAGAGGAGCATTGTTGTCTTTCGAGGCTCTGTATATGCTACTGACTTGGTACACTAGTGATTTCCAAACCTCAGTATTTGCTGAATCTGTTAAACCAAAATGTTTGACGAATCTAAAAATGTTCAATGTGGGGCTCTTTTTCACAGGATTTTTCTTTTCTCTTTTTTGTCCATATTTATCCTTAAATTAATCCACATGTTATGAAGGCGTAACGACTTCTGCTGAGGTTAGCTTAATTGAACTTTGGATGATGTTCACATAATGAGGTCACTTCCGTTCGATATTTCAAATCCGCCAACACGAGTGGTTCATTAAAAAAATAGCATATTCTAGTAAAACATCTTCGACAGTTTAAGCATTTAAAAATCTTTCATCGCTATCTCCAATCAAGAATTATTGGATAAAGTAAAATGATGGTTGTGGCAATATTTTGGCGGACCGTGTGGGTTCTAGTTTGATTTCCTCTGAGTTGTACTTCCGGTCTTTCCTTTTATTCTGAGTGAAATTTTGCTATCTGACACATCATATTCTCCTTTTTCCTTCAGTTTTCATCGACTTATGATCAAATACGTGGAAAAATAATACATGCACTCATAAAACAGTTCTAGATTTGTTTTCCACGGTCGAAATAGCTTGATATCAAGTTCTTAATTCCATACTCATATAAATTGTGCGTCTGAGGAAAATAAAAGAAAAAAGGTTTTAATCTCACCATTTTCCATAGAGCACAACTTTGTTTTAACTCCGCAGAGTGGCAGTCAATTGTTTCGATCGTCTGCGATATTCAAGTACTGCAAAGATTTCTCAGCGCATCCGTATTTATAGAGGTTGTAACCAAAATAGATCTTGTGGTGTAAACATTGGCTGACAACAGGAAGATCAAATTCAATTTAGTTTTGACAGGTACTCATTGTTAGATCAGAAACTAAAATATCAAGTGCTTTGACGGAAACACCTGAAATTACCATCTGAAAGAATCGAAATTGAAAGGGGTTTTTCCCTTTGTTTCAGCTGACACCCACGCACCGCACGCATTTGTCCTTTGACACCTCAGAAACCAAACAATACAACACTTGCTTGTCTAGGCACACCTATTTGGTTTCCAGTTTCAAAAGAATTGTTCTCGAATTTTTACACATGTTCAAAGCAAATGACAGAATAATATAGGTTCTGGATCATTGACTCTATAAGACACATTATTTTGAAAGTTTAAACCCGGATTACCTTGGTGTTTCGACAAAATCTTTAAAAAGATCTCGAAATTTTTTCGTCTTTTGTTTGTCGGAGGGAATTTTCCCTCCCAAACACAAATGCGCTTATCAGGCACTTTCAGCGGATATCAATATTGATAACGGTCTGTTATGCAAATCCGTCGGGGATTCCCCTTAGATGTAAAAGCTGATAAAGTTTCGATTTCCCCATTCCTGTTGTTACCCTGTTACGAGCCCATCCGGTTATAAAAAGAATGATAGAAATTCTTAAGAATAGTAATCAAATTAGAAAATGAAACTTATTTCCCCATACGTTCAACAAAAGCTGTCCTTGATTGACAAATAGTCACGTGATTCTAAAAAAATAAAAATAAAAATCAGGCATATGTTTGGTAAGGCGGTAAGACTGTAGAGAGTGACTCGCTTTGTTTTAAATCTTACGAAGGTAAAGGAGTTAGCATTCGCCTCAGACTATCTATCAGTTCAAAGCGATTTGTCCTGTCTGATAAGTTGTGAAGAAAGGGGGAGAGAATTTATAAGGCATCAAGATAATAACCACGGTATTGAAGTGACAGACAGAGATCTAAAGACTTGTTCTGAAAGTTTTCATCAAGAGGAAGCTCCTTTCGTTGAACGGTAGGTTCTTTAGGTTCTTTAGGTTCTTTAAGACAATATCGAATGTATCAAATAATATGTTTTCTGAGGGTGCATGAAAGCGCAGCCTTTGTTAACAACCCAATTAAATATAAGGTGAGGACTGATTTTAGCTTGTATCTATCGAAACCGATTTGGATTCGATGCCAGCTGTATTATCCATCTCTAAGTGCTCTCCTGATGCCGGATTGAGTCCACGCGTAGCTTCGCATTTTAAAAGGATTTCTTTTAAACAGACAGATAATACTTTATTAAATCACGCAGTTTAAATAGCTCTAAAAGCTCGGTCGTTAAAACGTAGATCAAATGAGAAATCTTTAAAGACTTTTGCCCTTGTGACGGTATTTTAAGAGCATAGTTCGAGAGTTCACATCTAGAACAGGAAATCGAAAGTGCTATGTAATTATAAACAAAAATGGAAAACCCCTTTTTAGTGGTCACTAATGACAAATCCCCTCTTTTGGCAAGAAATGGACGGAGAGCGACGAATTAAAGGTACACGTTTGAACACGATGCGAGAGAGGGTAGGAGAATTTATATCATGTAAATTTAGTTACTTTTCGGCATTGCACTAATTTTCTGACTGAAAAATAATAAACGCGTTGACACGTGTAGGAACTCAAAGGTATTACCCTCGACAAAGCCGGCCTAGGGTAAAACTATAGAAAAAATTTGGATCTTATTTTATTCACCTGTACCTCTGCTAAGATGAAAGAATCGCACTGTTATAGAATAACGGTCAGCTCTCCTTTATAGGAGAGAAAGTAAATCGTCGAAAGAAAGCGAGAGTCTAATTTACAGGCCAATCAATTAACATCTTCTATAGCAAAGCTTTGATTAGGGATTTCCACTGTCAGTCATTTTGTGAATTAATGGCGGGCCTTCACTCTCATTGTAGTAACAGGTGATTACTTATACTCTAATTTTCTTAACTTATCCTGCACTATTCACTACTGCCTGCAATCGACCAAGATCTTTCGGCTGTGACAAGGCATTTTGTATCTTAACGCGCTGCGTCTGTCGTACGGTGCATTTTGCTGTCTAGAAATTGTAAAATCGAGTGGAAGTGCAGAAAACGAAAAGGCCTGTCTCTAATTTGTCACAAACAAGCTTAAATATCGCGGGGGCAGGCTATTCGGTATGCGTTTTGAAAGGGTTTTATTGAAATCAGTGATGTGTATTTCAATGTCACGCGCGTATCACCGATTGTAAAGCAGCCGTCACGAAATTTTAAGCCTCAAAAATGTGTTAAATGTGTTAAATTTCTGACTTTATGTTTTGTTTTTTTTTTTGTTTTTTTGTTTTTGTTTTTTTCAATGTTTTTTTCGGTTGTATGCTTTATGAGCTTCTCGATTCGTCAGTGATAGAGACGAAACAATTATCGAGATTTTGCGCCAAATCTCTTCGGGTTCCACTTCACCGAACAGTAAATCGAGAGTGCCAAGCTATCAAAACACAAAAGGGAAAACCCCCTTTCGTGGCCCGTGTAACTAAAAACATGTGAAAAGTCACAAAAAAAGAAATAGATAAAAGGGAATGACAGAAATAAGATAAAAGTAGATGAAAAACGGTTTGACGTATGAGAGCAAAGATTAGTGTTCGGGGATTCCCCGAGAAACGTAACAGGGAAATTAACCCATTGTGGTTGTAGCGAATCCTTGATGTTAATGAAGAGGTATTTCGAACTCTTCTTTAAAATCTATGAGCTGTATTTACCTGACGGAGGGATAGCTCATTTTTAACTCATCTTGACACTAAAGTGAACATTTAAACTGCCCAGATAAAAAAACTTTTAGCCAGCGAAATCAGAAAAGATCGAGGCGAAACCAAATCATCACAAAAACGTGTAAGGTCAGTAAATCTGTTTGTCACTCGGTTGATGCTATGTAAATTTGTTAATGATGAGATTCGAAGAAAGTTGATATCACGCTTGAGACTAGCCTGTCTTAATTTCATCTCAAACAAAGCGATTTGTGGTGATGTATGGTTGATCTTTCAAGTTTCATCGGGGGTTTGGTGTGTTATTCTAATCTCTTACATTGTAGCTCATTCAAATTCAAAACTGCTTGGCTTTCTACGTTCCAAACAGGCAGATACTCCGCATTACCCTATGTTATAGGTAATTTTTACGGGAAGTTCTCCATCGACTATTTTAAAAGGACGAAAAGAAAATTCGAACATAACAAGAGAGGGAGATGAGACGGGGGAAAGGAGACGCGGATTACCCTCACCATCCCCCCCCCCCCCCCCCCCCCCCCCCCCCCCCCGCTCTTTCCCAGTTTTCTTCCTTGCACTCGGTCCAGGTCGGTCCAGGATTCCTCGTCCAAGTGATCCAACATGGCTGACTAAAGGTGCGCATTATTAACACAACTAGTTTACTATTTCATTCAATGCGGCCAAAATTAGCGGTCAATCCTTAGCTCTACCTTGTTTAAAAGAGCGTCTGCGATTTTTTCTTATTAAAGGATTTTCCTTCCTTCCTCTAACAGAGAAATGGGGGAAGACGAGCCGGTCGCTAAAAGAGCATGCTTGGGTTGTGAGGATGACTACTTCATGGATGTATACAGCTTTGTACAGCCCGGACAAAAGAGCCAGCTTTGCCTCTATCTAACCAAAGGTGGAGGCAAGGGCAGACAAGCCTTCCTACAGGTATCTGTAAAAAAAACGTCTTGTTCTGTTGCCTTTTCAGAAGAAATGCGGAACCATCAGTCACTACTCTCTAATTATTAAGAACTTATCGATCAAATTCGATCAGATACTTTAGCCAAACATAACTTTGTTGTCAGTAAAGAACTCTTGTGCATGGCTGAATCTTCTCTAAGAAAGTGTACAACACTTGAACTGATATGAAATTCAACTTTAAGTCTACCCAAAAAGCGCTGGCAAGTTTTCCTCTATCTGTCTAGTTTTGTTTTGTTTGTTTGTCTTTGTTTCTTTTTGTTCTTCCTTTTTAGAGATAATGAATAGAGAGCACAACATTGCTCTCAGACCTGAAAAATTATTATAGCTTTTGACTTTTTCACGGTTGTATGTAAATTAATTTGGAAATTCAGCGTCACATGGAAATAACCGTTCTTCTCGAGCTACATTTATCGATTCTCATGACTTAGTCTTTGTACTAAGCATAAAATTTGAGGAGAATTTAAATTTAAGTCGCATCTGGGTTTAAAAGAACTGTAAGAAATAAAAAGTAAGTGATATCGTGGTTTGTTTTCAGGAAGAGCAATCTCGACTTGGCATGATGAGGGTCCATGTCAATAAATTCTGTTTGAAAGAAAAGGAAGCGTGGTTGATTATCGCCGCGTTAAAAACGGGAGATTTTGAAGCAGTTAAACGGGTAAGAATCAAGGGAGCATGAGGGGCTGGATTGTCTCAGCTTCATTTCAGCGTGGTCAGTTACAACTTACGTGAAAGACAGTTAGACAGCCAACTTAAATATGAGGTTACTCGGCTCAAAATTGATTCTTGGCATTCAGCTTTTAGCTAGATGTGCGGCATATCTAGTTAAAAGCTGAATAGCAAGAATCAATTTCGAGGTTTCAATTGCAATTTAAGAACAAATAAATGAAGGATTATTTGCATCTATGTACTTA